GAGTATAGCTTTTATGAGAAAAATGATTTTATAGTGGGTTGCCATTTAAAAAAAAAATATTTTTTTGTAGAACTCAAAAACAAAAGGAAATTTCGAAAAAATTTATTCTTGTTAAATCATCACATTTTTATAGTATTTTATCACTCATCAATTAGTTTTTTCAAAAAATAAATAGTTTAAGCAAAAAACGTTTGGTTCCATACTTTTTATTCACTTGGYATGTAAAAAATGCGGTGGCTGCACCAAATTTGTATGCTTTGCGATATCTCCACAGATAGGCTCCAAGTGATAGAAYGTTTAAATAATTAGAACAAAAACAACAAGACAATAAAAGAGCCCGAGCAAGAATAGTTACAATTTTAGAAAATAAAATACGATAAATCGAAGCAACAAATAATTGAGAACCCTCATGTATGTCAAGCTTTTATAGTTAGGTACAGCTACATTCATAAAAAACGAKAAATGTCAATTTTTCCATGGTGTGAACGTGTTTTATTAAAAATGGGTAATATATTTTAATAACATGTCAGTTAAAAAATAAATAGGTTATATTTGAATAAATTATATTTTTTGTAACAAACTGAACAACTTAATAGTTAATTATTTGTACTTTTAGGGCATCCCAAACCCACCTTGCGTTTCACGGTGCGCATTGACCCACTTTTTATTAATCCATCCAATGGTACTTTTTCACTCTAAATTCTGYCGTTAAATTCATAATTTTCCTACCATTTTCCAGGAGAGATGATTCTGGCTTCCTGCGGCATTGCACAAGTTGGTATGAATTTAATGACATTGATAAAATTGGAATCATGAAATATACCTACCTTATTTAATAGTAAAGTGTGATAAAATAAAAATAATATTGGGTACCGAACTAACAAGAAATTGCACCCCAGACTCGATCCMGCGACAACTACCATCCATTTCGCGTCTAATCCGGCAGGTGGCACTAACGCAAACGTTAAGTKTGCTACTTGGATTTCCAACACTAAATTATTGTTGTAAAGATGTTTTCCAAATAAGTAGGATAAGGAAAGTCGTGTGATGTTCACACCATATTTTTGATAGGCATTGTACACTGATAATTGACAACTAGAACCGAGTTTACATTTGGAAAATTTTCATTTTCCGTTTTTTTTTTAATGTAGCTGTAAGTTGGGATTAACCAGTCTTCAATTTCCCAGTTTGGAAAACTAACAAAATTTTTTCGTATTACTTAACTTTAGTTCAAGATCTCAAAGAAACTAATTTTCCAAAAAAACAGTACAGTTTTGTGAGATAATGCAAAAGCAAAAAGAGCTAAATCTTATTTTTTTTTATGAAATTTCATGACCTATGAAGCTTGTTTTAGTAATAATAAAGGAGTAAATTCACAACACAACTGCCACTGTTATGTACGCTCCAGAAAACCTGCATTATTGCATTAGAATTACTTATTTTCAGAGAACTTTTTCTTTACCTAAACTTTTGAGAAATAATGACTTTCTTAATTTAATGTTTTTTATCTTTGCAAATGCGACACACAAAAAAAAAATGGTATACCCTTTAAAGTTTGTACTTTTTTCTTTGCAGTAACAAAAAAAAGTTCTTGTCTTAATTTTTGTGTTTTAATTTTTATAAAGAGTACGACGACCACATACTGCCATTAGGATTCTTCATCACTGGTCCTTGATTCAATTTAACCGTAATCTTTATCTCCTTGAATACTTTCTTCTTTAAAAAATGGAGTATAGTGTCTTAATTATTAATTCTAAGTGAACATAAAAGGGGGATAAGCATAATGTGCAGATAAAGTTGCTTAAAAAGTTTCGTTGATTTTTAACTTTATTTGTATGAACATAACAATAATCATTATTTTTACAATTATTATTGATATTCTGTTTGTTTTATTGTCAATAATTATTTTACTTTCATTTCAGAGTTATAAAGAAAAAAGTAGGTTACACCAAGAATCGGACTCTTGATGTGCAGTTGAAAAAGAAGTGTACACGTGAAACACATCAAAACTTTGTTCAAGTCGATACAAGGACTTGTTTAATGTAAATATAAAAATATGTAAATATTTGCATACTAATGTTGTTATCAAAACATTATTTTCATTTTTAAATTTTAATGAAGATGTGTAGACTAAACTGGCGATACATTACGTAACAATAAAAACTAAATTTACAATAAATAGTTTTATTGGTAATTGTGTGTATACATAGAAAACTTTAACTGGTTAAAAATTTATTAGGATAAAATCTTAGGCCTTCAATCGAATCATCTCTACAAGACTTGCCATATTTTTCAGCAGTCAACAATCTTTCTTTAGCTAAAGTAACGGAAATTCCAAGTGCTTGTGCCAACTCTTCGGACGAGAGTGAYCCTTTGTCATCCAACTGCAAACCAAATTAATTAATTAATTAAAAGCCAATTAACTAACTACAAATCATGTACCAAAATCGCCGTTGCTTCTGCAACACTCTCATCATCCAAAGTCGCAAGTTGCAGAACCATAACACCTGAACTAAACTCAATCAGTTTTAACGGTAAAGACAACGACTCCATTATTTGACAAGCACTTAGGAGATCCTCAGGAGAAAGTAGTTCCAACCCTCTCGCCCGATTCACCCAACAAAATACATCAGTTAAGGCCATCATACCTCCCCTATCTTCAATGTGAGATTGGAGCAAACCACATATTTCTTTCGCTAAACTCCTGTAGTATTGGTTGTCTGATTTGAAGGAGTTTCGCGTGACGGGATCGTCAATACCTAAGCTAAGGAGGTAAGACTTAAACCGGACTGTTTCATCTTCAGTTATGTCCCCTTGTTTGTCCTAAAACCAGCGAARTAAAACCAAATAACGAAAACATAATCCACTACTTTGATTTTTGTTGAAATCATTTTAGAAAGCGACACCATTTCCTTAGCCATGCCCATTAATTTGTTCAAATCTTGGAAGGCAACTGAGATACTCTCATCGGTGGCCTTTTGTTTCTCTTGTAAGCTGCGTTCAATTCCCACAATTCCTGTTCTTAATTTAATCTGGGGGGCACTTTTAGGAACTGTTCGACCCTCCCAAACCTTCTTCTGGATGCTGTCATTTAAAATAGCGACAACATCTGAGCTAAATCCTTCTCTGAAAGACAATTTAATAAAATTGTAAATACTGGAGGGTTGAGGGCCATCTTGCCCAACTAAAATTAATTCATCAATTTCGTTTTTTGTCAAAACAGAAACAAACCATCCTGGGGTTCTGATAAATGCAAAACAACTTTACGGGAACGACTGAAACTAAAAGCGCTGGGTGATTCTTCCTCAATGTATACAATTAGTGAAAGATTTAAAGCTAGACAAGTCTGGCCTTTTGAGATTGCACCAGGACGGCCCCATAACAATCTGTGGGTTGTTATTATGAGTTCTCCGCCCTCAAACGATGTCTGAAAGTTTATATAGAGAAAAAAATAGTTATGTTTGGAAGTGAAACCTTTTGGTCGCCATCATATAAACGAACGTTTTTTTCACATGTCAACGTTGATTCCTTATCTAACAGTAACGGACTGGTGTATCTCCAACGATTCATTTTTTAATTTTCATTATTTAACACTATTATTTTCTTTCTTGACACAAGTTTGACGTTTTACATAACCACAAATTCGTACATTATCGATTTCCCGTAGGTGCGAAAATATAAAACACGCTGAAAATAATAATTGTCATAAAGAAATAATTAASAGATTAGTTACATTTAAACAATCTGGTGGCTATAACAGAATAATTGATGCGTGTTTATTAAATATTTAATAAATTAATTGACAAATGACAGCTGTCACTTTTGAAATCCTAACCTAATCTTAAATGAAAATTTCTGAGCGATGTGGAAATTTAGAAACGTTTTGAAATTGTCCAATTGTTTTAAAATTCGGAATAGGTGTATTTGTGGAACCAAATTTTGGAGTTTGCAACAAAATGAATATTTTCATCATCAATATGGAAACAAGGGGGGCTTCAACTATTATAAGGTAGATTCGTTAGCATTTCTTGGGATTACTGCATTTGCAGTTGCTTCTTGTGATTCCCGAACTCATACTAACAAGAGATTATTTCGGGCTGCCCAATATGGAGTTACAGAAGATTTAAAAACGTAAGTTTAGCGTTGTTGTTCACATGTTTTAATGCATTTTTCAGTCTTATTAATAATAAAATTAATATAAATGCTCGTCATGAGCTAGGTTGGACTCCTTTAATGGTGGCTGCAGTAAATAATCAGTATGAAGCTGTTAAAATATTGCTGGAATCGGGGGCTGAACCCAATTTGGGTGAAGAATTTATCAGTGCAAAACGGACGGCTAAAGAAAAGGGGCTTCACCCAATTGAAGGTATTTTTGTGATTGTCATTAATTAAATTCACAATGATTTGTAGTTCTGATGACTCGAGAAGAAGAATTTTCAAATAGTTTAAACGCCAAAGTGTCATATAGAGGTTTCACAGCATTGCACTATGCAGTTTTGATCGATAATTTGAGAATCGTTAAACTTCTAATAGACAAGGGGGCTGATCCTACTATTGAAAATGAAGCTGGTCATATTCCTCTCGTATATGCTGCTGAAGGTGACTTGAAAAATTATTTGGAAGAAAAAACGTCCAAATTTGAAGAAATYAAGAAGCAAAAAGAATTGGAAGAGCGTCGAAGGTTTCCATTGGAGGAAAGACTTAAGAAACACATTGTTGGGCAAGAAGGTGCAATTACAATAGTTTCTGCAAGTAATTTCAATTTTTTTCAACAAAAATTGCAATTTCTGTTGATTTGAAGCAATTCGTAGGAAGGAAAACGGTTGGGGCGATGACGAACATCCATTGGTGTTTTTGTTTTTGGGGTCTTCCGGCATTGGCAAGACTGAATTGGCTAAACAATTGGCTGCTTATATTCACAAAGAGAAGCCTCAAGCTTTTATCAGATTGGATATGTCCGAGTATCAGGAAAAACACGAGGTTGCCAAGCTAATTGGGGCACCTCCGGGTTATATAGGACAYGACGAAGGGGGCCAATTGACTTCGCGTTTGAAACAYTGTCCAAATGCTGTTGTTTTATTTGATGAAGTAGATAAAGCCCATCCTGACGTTCTTACTGTTCTTCTYCAATTGTTTGATGAGGGACGCCTTACTGATGGTCATGGTAAAACAATCGAATGTAAAGATGCTATTTTTATCATGACTTCGAATTTGGCTAGTGATGAGATCGCGCAGCATGGTTTAAAGTTGAGGCAAGAAGTTGAGAATTTGCGGGCCAACAGATTGAGTAGTAGTAAGACAGGTTAGAGTAAATTTTTTGAATGTTAGATATTTTTTTTTTTTTAATTTTTAGATGAAGAAATATCCGATAATATAACCATTTCGCGAAAATTCAAAGACGAGGTTGTTAAGCCCATTCTGAAGCGGCACTTTAAACGCGACGAGTTTTTGGGAAGGATCAACGAAATCGTCTATTTCTTACCATTTTCGAGAAACGAATTGTTGCAGCTTGTTAGTAGAGAAATGTCAGTGTGGGCTCAAAGAGTTAGTATTCTCATTGTTTCATTACACAGGGCGACAAAAAGAAAGTCATGTCGTGACAACTTGACAAATTTTATATCATTTTGTTCGTCTCAGTGAGACAAATCAAATGCACTAAAAAAAAATTTAAAAAAGTCCACACACTTTAAACTAAATATTTTTTTCTAATTTAAATGAATTTAAAATACTTCAAATTTAAAAAAATCATTACTCAATAACTGTTAGGCCGATTTTTTTCAAATAAAGACCATTTTAAAGGGATGGATTTGCCCTTTAGAATGATATGCAATTTGAAATTGAATATTGGCAAACTTTTCTTCCAACAGTGTTCGAAGAAGTTCGAAGTAATCTAAGAAAAACCCTACGAGTAATTTTTTTTTCTTCGTCACCATCGTGTAGAGCATCTTTTTATTAGTRCTAATTCAAATTTTTAAAATAATATACCGAGTAGTTTTCAAGATATGRTTTTTTAAAGTTAAGGTTTGATATTCAGGTATTTTATTGCGCCATATAGGAGAAATGCATGTTAATCTTACTTAAAATTGCATTTTTATAAAAGTATTTGTTTTAAGACTCTTCTTTTGCTTAAAAATGGTCAATTGCACCTTCTTTGTTCTAATTAGAATAAACAAAAACTGTTTCCTTACTTAAAACAAACAAGGAGTACCTGCGTACTAATTAAAGTAAATAAAGAGTTTTTTTGTTCTAAAAATGATTACTGATCATTGAGCAAAAACGATCTAGCAGTTTAAAGCAGTAGCTTTAAATATAAGAACAAATCTTTTTCAAATTAAATCACTTTCCATTCAGATTCCAACTTGTTCACTTTGTTCTAGYTTTCTGAACTTTTTTTTGAAAATGTTTTCAGCAAATGCTTTTTCATCACTTTCTAGTGATGTTGAATGCAATAAGTCAGTTGCTTCGTGTGCAACTGTTATCACAACAACTACTACCTATAAACTAACTGAAGCTAATCGTAGAATGTACCAACAAAATAAATCAGGTGACTTATTGCATTTAACATCACTCGAAAGTGATGAGAAAGCATTTGCTCAGAACATTTTCAAAAAAAGTTCWGAAARCTAGAACAAAGTGAACAAGTCGAAATCTGAATGGAAAGTGATTAGATTTGAAAAAGATTTGCCCTTATATTTAAGGCTCGTGCCTTAAACTTCTAGATCCTCTTTGCTCAATGATCAGTGGTCATTTTTACAACAAAAAAACTCTTTATTTGCTTTAATTAGTACGCAGGTTCTATTTATTTGTTATAAGTAAACAAACAGTTTTTGTTTATTCTAATTAGAACAAAGACAGTGCAATTGACCATTTTTAAGTAAGATTAACATGCATTTCTCCTATATGGAGCAATGCTTGATTAGCAAACCTTAACTTCAAAAAATCATATCTTGAAAACTGCTCGGTATATTCTTTTGAAAATGTGGATTACAACTAATAAAGAGAAAATACTGCTAGGGTTTTTCTTAGATTATTTCGATTTACTTCGAACTTCTTCGAACACTGTTCGAAGAAAAGTTTGCCAATATTCAATTTCAAATTTCATATCATCCTAAAGGGCAAGGCCATCCCTTTAGAATGGTCTTTATTTGAAGGAAATCGGCCTAATAGTTATTAAGTAATGATTTTTTAAAGTTAAAGTACTTTAAATTCATTTAAATTAGAAAAAAAATATTACGTCAAAGTGTGTGGACTTTTTGAAATTTTTTTTAGTGCATTTGATTTGTCTCACTGAGACGAACAAAATTATATGAAATTTGTCAAGTTATCACGACATGACTTTTTTTTGTCGCCTTGTGATTATTAGTTTTGCTAAATCGATGTTTAATAGGCTAAAGATAAGCACAAAATCGATTTAAATTGGGACCGGAGTGTGGAGTCGGCGCTTGCTGACGGTTACGACGTCCACTATGGTGCAAGGTCTATAAAATATGAAGTGGAGAGACGCGTTGTTAATCAGTTGGCAGCGGCTCATGAAAGCGGTTTCATTGGGAAAGGAAGTGTGGTTCAAATTACGACGGTTTGGCATGAAAATACTCTAAGTCCGGAAATTAAGTTGAGGGTGAAAAGTAAAGGAGCGAAGAGTTTTGTTGATGTGGAGAAGAATAAATTGCCGGTTAAAAATATTAATTCTGTTTTTTAACATTTGTAGATCTGTATTTATGTAAATAAAAATTATTTCAAGTGGGAACTTTTGCTTTATTAAAAGCATTAGTAAAAAAAATATAACGAATAGTTAATTATAAAAAGGGCAAGTAAACTAACCTAACGAAATATATTGTCCAAATTAAAACAATTTAAATATTAAAAAAAAATAAAGTTAAAATTAATTTAAAAAAATATTTGGAGAATATCTTGAGCGCAACGATAAAACAGATGTGTGACCCGTGCACCACGACAAACATCGGGATATTGTTTATCCTCGTTGTTATCTCTTAAATTGAAAATGTAAAATTGGCAAACATACCAGGGACTGCAAATTTCTCAGGTCCAGGTTGAGCTGGCACTTGAGGAAGAACAAGAGGACTTTATGGGAGGGCATGGTCTATCAAACAGAATTTCATAAATAATACGTTTTAAAAACTCAACTCTAACACAATATCTAAAATACTTTATTTTCTATTGAAGAAGTGAGTAAAAATCCAAATGAAAAAATAAAACTTATTTCAAACATCATCAACCAGGAAAGGTCCCTGGTGAGGGGGCTAAGGAGGGGCAACGAGATGGACAGCGCCATCTATTTAACAAAATTTGATAAGAAGTAAAAATTGAAAACTTATTTTAAACATCCCTGGGGCACCAAACGCCATGGGTTCCGGATGAGGTGGATCAGCGAGAGGGTCCTCTGTTTATGAAAATGAGATGAATAATCATAATGTAAAAAACAATAACAATAGTATTAATGTGCATATTAATAATATTAAAATTCACACCTGGTTCTATTGCTTCAGGATGCGCGTTGGCCCAATTCTTGAAGTCTTGCTTCAAGGTTTCTACTACGCCGTAAAAATTGGACCAACGAAATCCGGTCGAAGTCTAATTTTAGTCCTCTTGAGCGTCCCTTATCCGTCTTGTATGATTTCCACCAGTTTTTCCAAGAGACAATAAAAAAATCTTAAATGTCTTGATTAAGATGGCTGGATGGCTTTATTGCTATTAATGAGTCTGAGGTTGCAAATATTTTTGGTAAGTAATTCTTTTTTAAAAGCATTTACATTTGGTCCATTAACTACTGTTGACAGCCATCTCTCAGATATAGTTCCATCTCTCAWCCCTTATTTTCTCATATAAGAATTAATTAAAAATAAACTTGTTGAATTAAAAGATAATACTTACTTCACGGGTTATTACTACATTTTCTCATACGCGGTAGATTTACTAAAACAATAAAAAAAGTTATTTTTTTCTCTTTTCTTTAAATCAATTAATAGTAGATTATGTTATTAGGAGTAAAAGTGATTGTTTATGTGGCGAAGCTGAACGTTCATTTTGCCGAACGGAGTGAAGCAAATGGATTCAGCTGAGCCACATAAACTCACTTTTACTCCAAATAACATATACTATTTTATCTGCAAACGATTCAGATGGAACGAAAAAAGCAACACACCAATAATCAAGTAAATCACCTCAATAATCAGGACGCTTTGCAATAAAATCGTAACAAACGTCACGCGTCAGTTCGGAATTTGTGTTCAGATTTCGAAAGTGTTGATTGATTTAACTGGTGAATAACTGGTGTAGTTTATAGTGCAAAATGTCGAATGCTGATAATCTACCTTGTACCTCTCCAGAAAATGCTGMAAAAGCGAAAGGGACAAGAAAGAGACAACAGTGGTAAATGTCAAAGTAAGTGTCAAGTAAAAGTGAAAACGCCTAGGCGTAAAAACAGTGTTTTTACTCCATGTCTGAAAAGTAAAACTTTTACCTGTGTCATTAGTCATAAAAGTGGTCACTTTTGTGACGTTTGCAGATAAAAGTATTTTTTTTTAATAGTAAAAGGATCTTGTTGGAGGTTTATTCCAGTTTTTGGAACTACCCTTACATACCCTGTGCAGTCATTATGGTTGCTGAGATCAAAGACAAAAGGATCTTTTTTCATTAAAAGTTAGATATCTCAGCGATAAAATGACGCAAAGAGAATATAAAGAAGCAAATTAAAGCTGAATAAACAAAGCCTATGCWTTGATTTAACTAGACAAAGGTCCATCCGAGAAAAAAACAAAAAAATTAAAATAATCTTTTTTTCTCATGTTATACCTTAGGATTGCGTGCTAATTACTATTCGGCGATCGTAATTTATTTACCTTCACTCACCCTCACATAGCGTTATAACGCATACCTAACTATAATACCAAGTGAATAAAAAGTATGGAACCAAACGTTTTTTGCTTAAACTATTTATTTTTTGAAAAAACTAATTGTTGAGTGATAAAGTACTATAAAAGTGTGATGATTTAACAAGAATAAAATTTTTCGAAATTTCGTTTTGTTTTTGAGTTCTACAAAAAAATATATTTTTTTAAATGGCAACCCACTATAAAATCATTTTTTTTATAAAAGGTATACTCCAAGGATTACAACTATCTGCTTTATATTTGTTGAAGGTATATTGAAAGAATACGCTTGGGCTATTAATTAAAAGAATATTTAATGAAGTGTAAAGTACAAAAGTAGAGGGCTCCCTGTACGAGCTTCTATCACCAGCCTAGCTGTGTACAGACTAACAAAAAAAAACTAATTCGCAATAATTGAGACTGGGAACCGGAAATCGACCCAGCCGGGGGTTTCGCAGAAACGATAAACAAAATCGGCGACGTTCCTGGAAACTATAGAGTTAGTTTTTATTACTTCAACAATATTTAATT